ACAGATTTCAAAATATTAGCAACCTGTTTGATATGAGAAGTAGCTACAGATATCCAAAATTATGGGGAGGTGTCCTTAACCAGCAGCAGCTATGGAGATTCCTGATTTGGGTAGCTGGGTGAGAGGTTGTCCCCATCTGCCTTGACAATCTTGTTAGCAAGCTCCTGGAGTCCGATGTTTGATGCAGCCCTACGCAGTCTCCTTGCGAGCCTCTCATCTGCAGTACCTGTCCAAAATATGGTATATCTCCCAATATTAGAAGCAATATAGTATATCTCAAAATATAAGCAACCTGTCTAGGAGCACTTTGTTTACAAAATCCTTTTGACACAATTATATAATGATTTTTTTAGTTGGCTGGATTTTCTTCCGGCATCAATATCAATCCCACTGGGGATTCTAACTCTAAATCTCTATGTTTAATGTTTGGGTTTACTCCTAATCCAAATGCTGAATGCAGAGCATAGAGATTAATCAATTTGATGCCCAGAGCAAGCAAAATTAATTACACAAGTCAGAGATTAAGTTGGCATAGTTAATGAGATTCAGATTAGTAAATGAGCTTAGCAGTGCCAACCTGCCATTGATGCGCATTAACTATAGGCCAAGGAATCCATTAACTATGCCACACAATTTTTAAATTGTTACAACGTCTGTACATTTTTATTTAGGTGCTTCTATAAAATTTAAATATAAAGGTGTCCCCGCCTCACAAAAAATGAGACCGCTTAGTGAACAATAATGAAGCACTATCACCAAAATTTAACAGTTTTTTGTTAGTTTTCATTATGAAAGTGAAAATTATCATGTATTCATATGAAAATGAGGATGAAAAGTTATTATGTGTTGATATATTTATGCTTATTTTATAAATAACTTTTGTGTTGGTAGAATTTACATTATATAAGTTATTAATAAAATGTAAAATTGTGTATGTGCCCACATAAGAAAAGATTATAAATCCGTCATAAGAAAAGATTATAAATCCGTCCTTGCTGTAGGCTGTTGTCTTTTTTTTTTCTAAGGAAAGGGCAGAGCCTAAATTTTATTGATATAAATTGTAGGCTGTTGTCAATGTGAATTTAGTCAGGAAAATATTGTTTTTTAAAGAAACATTTTTAGGGTTTAAATATCGACTTGAGATGAAAGTTGTATGTTACATTAAATTTTCTATAACAAAGGTTAATTGTCTTAACTTTTTTTGTTTGTTTGTTTTTCGCAGTTGTACCTAATGCATATGTTACTTATATGCCTTTGCAATTGTTGCTATTAATGTTCAAAGTAGTTGTTTGGTTCAATTTTGAAAGCCTTTGGTTTGTAGTCGTAGGTGAGATTCAAATTCTCCCCAATTAGGTGGTAATTTGAAAGCATCCGATTCTTCAATTCCTCACAATCAATCTCAATTGTAAGGAATATGATATCGTGATGTACGATTGGATAATCAAACTAATGGTTTTCCTGAAACCACTATAATTATATTTATGTAAAAATCAAATAATCAAAAGAAAACTAATTAAAAAATAGATAATACAACAAAGTACTCCAATTAAATTCTCTAATATTTCATATTTAATTAAATCTAGTGCCGAGAAAAAAATAAGTAAAAAAACAATATATTGCAAGTAATCAATGATAACATAATGGGTTCATCATTTTGCTCAAGCGTATAGAACATCTGCTGAACGGATGATAATATAATTATTTTGGATTTTAAACTAGTTTTTAGAAATACTTAATATTATTATAAATAAAATAATATTCACCAATGTACCTAAATGCTACTTAGAAACCCACTAGTTTGATTGAGGAAACCCTACAAGTCATTATCTTAATCTTTGAAATTGTAATTGATGGTGCGAATTAAAAGAATTAGATACTTTCAAATTACCACCTAATCGGAATTAAAAGATTGTGAACCCTTATATAGGCGCCGTTTATAAGTTGCAAGATGAATCAACTTGCAAATTTTACAGTAGCGAATTGCTTCCATGCACATTTGTTTAAGCCTCACATGTATCTAGAGGATTTTTTTAATTTCCCCAAATTTCATTATTAATTAATAATTGAAGTAAAACTAGCATTTTTTACTCCTTTCTTTTCTTTTTTTTTTGCAACAGAGCGATAAATCAAGCGGAGATCATCTTAGTATCATATTAGTGTAATTGCTTTAAAAAAATATTGATGATCACTCGCAGTATTATATATCCACTTACATCACTAAGAAATTACTGCGCAGCTCACAAGGCGATATATATATGAAAAAGGCACCTTTGCATCAGACCAGGGGGCGATCGATCATCCGAGGTTTAGGTGTTGAATCAGTAAAATACTCATAAAACAAAATCCACACTAATTGAAAAAACATAGCATTAACATTAAGGCTTAATACTCACTGATCACCACCACTATTTAATTAATTAAGATTTCATTGCTAGCATCACAGAAACTATATATATATATATATATATGAAAGTGACTGGCACTCCTACGCATCAAGACTATAAGCCCATAGTTGCAATTATCATCATCATTATTATTATGTT